CTTAGGCGACAAGCTTGCGACCGATCGCATCTACCTGCGGCTCCGCAAAAAAACGAGCTGTTACCGTTGACTCCCCGTACATCCCCATGATGCTTCTGGCTTTGTCCCTTGCATCTCAGGATCGACAACGGCATTAGCTTGCGCCTCTATGTGACCGGCTCAACTGGTATGTCTCCTCTTGGCGGCATGTCATCTGCGCCGTTTGCCATCACCCATTGGTATTCCAAGGTCAGGCCTGAGGTTTGTCAAGAGACGCTGTACCAAGTGCAGCTCAGCACGCATCTAGACCAGGAGATAGCGTAGGGTAGAACTTGCAGAGACCTGTTGGAGCAGACAATGCTGACAAGGTTTGGAGCAGAAACGCTGCAAGACGTCGCCACGGTTCTCTCGGCTCCAGAGGCACTGAATCTATAGAATCTAGGTGTGTCAGTTGAGAAGCTTACTCTGTCTCAAATCATGTTTGACAGCTGAACGTTCGGAGCGATGCATGCAGGCTTACGTGGACTCTCTCAGCGAGGACGCTGAGAGAATGCTGTCATGCGTGCAGCAAATCAGGAGGGAAAGATGGAGGCCGGATCTGTATTTGAGGTAACATGTTGGGTGTCACAAGACCGTGAAGTTCACTGTAGGGCGCATTTGCGCACGAACATCTTGGCAACGGCTTGCAAACTATATACAGTACATGTCGAATCGTAGATGCGAGGCTGCCCTGGCAGTCCTTCCATGTTGTGCTTCCGGGTACACCAGACGAGCTATGACCCAAGCTGCTGACTTTGCCGAGCTGTGAAGCAACGGGGGCGTTTGCCTTTCAGGTCCCGCGTCCTCGCCTCCCTTGCAGAAGACCGTGCTGGTTCCGAGTCCACCTACGTCGGGCTCCAAGATGGCACCCTCGCAGTGACTTCGCAGTGTGAAGCGGATTGGCCAGAGATGGGATCAAGAGATTTGTCCGAAGGTCGATTTCCTTTGCCACATCCACAAGCTTGTTCAAAACAAGCAGGATTGATGACAGGCTCAATCGCATGTGATTTTCGAATCAGCCGCAGCAGAGTGAATCGCCGTGCCAGGCCGACAAACCCGCTAGCTCGTTGCTGCTTTGATGAACAAATATCAGGCATTTTCAGCCGGATGAAGGTTTGGAATCTGGCACGTGAATTCAAGTGACGGATGGTCATTCAGTTACGAAGTACTGGTAGAAGTTAAGGGACGTTGTCAAACCAGCGGAGCTTCGTTCTGCTACAGCTTCATCGGTGGAACAGAGCTGAGATTTGGAGGCCATCCGCGAGAGACAAAGCCCGCTGCTCAAGTTTTTAAGCCCTTGGGGACGACGGACCTAGCTTTCGCAGCAAGATCAGCAGGGAGGGTGAGGCATCGCAAGGCAGCAAGCCGTCCAAGTCTCTGTCTCCGACGTCACCACCTCTGCGGTACACAGTGCCAGCCACCTGGGCAGCACTTGCTACCTGAGCAGCGCAGAGTGAAAACACTCGATTTTCAGGCTTGCAGTCGTTGCAGTCGATTGTTTGTACAGCGCCTGACTGCGCTTCGCAAACCTGGACTGACCTATGCTGAGTCAAGCGCAGTCCAGTCATAGGCAACTAGCCGGCAGCAGTACACTTCAGAATCGCAACTGCTTTCCCTGCCGCTGCATTGTTTTGTAAATCTAGTCGCCGGCAGTTGCAGTCTCACTTCTCGACCGTATATGTTTTGAGTTCCTGCGGCTTCAGGGCCTTCAAAGGCAGCGCCGCACAGCGCAGGCACAGCGGGATGACTTCCCAGCAGCTCGGCTGCTGATGGGGCCATGGCTACGCCGAAGGATAGGGTGAAGCTGTGGGCTGTTGGTTTGTTGGTTACCTAAGGTTAAGCATGTACTGTCTGAAGCCTGCAGAGTTTGTGTGAAAGCTGAGGCATAACAGTGGTGCATCGTGAAAAAGCTGACAGCACCGGATGCAGCGCTGCTGGGTAAGTCAAGGTGATGGTTAGCGAAGCAGCCTGGTTGGCAGTGCGATGCATGAACTCCCAGACGGTTGTTGCTTGGTCGCAGGTACGAGCGAAGTACTGAGCTCGAATTCCGAGATGCATCTGAAGTTGTCAACCGGCACGTAGCGGCTTGACAGCGATCCAGCTAACATGTTGGCACTTAGCATTGGAACCAACACGGGGTTGAGCTAATAGCCAGGTTTGGGTGGCTTTGTTCATCATGGTGCTGGGCTGAGAACCGCCAATTTCCTTGCTTGCAGCTTTCATGCCAATTCCGAATTCGTCTGAGGCCATGGAAGGGGGGCTAGTGATGTGGCAGGTTGGGCACCTGAGGGAATTCTTCAGGCGTGGCCCTGAGCGGTGCGTGCACGTTCAGCGACAAAGATGCCATGTGGCTGCTGCAAGACCGAGGCGTGAAAAGCTGATCGTATAGGCCGAATAGGTGTTAATGGAAACAGGTCGGGCCAGGCAACTGTGCCGAAGCGACCTGCTGTGCCAAAAAGTCGGTGCACGTTTCGGGATTGAAAACAGGCCTGTCTTGTTGCGGATGCACTTGCCTTTATTACCTGCATCAGTTGCAGATATAAGATGTTGCACGGCTGAACCACGGAGCAAGCAGCTGAAGACAATGCTTGCAGCTCCAAGCGAGGACACGTGGGAATTACTGGTCATGGTCGACAAGACTTAAGGTAGGTCAATCAAGCATCACTCTAGCGTCGCCGAACATGAGTAATCGAATAGCTCATGGTGGTGCCAGCGAATTTGCCGGCTGGCGATGACTGACGTTGCAACGGAATTTCGATATTTGAGCGAAGAGGAAGCGGATTTTCACCGCGGCAGCTGGCTTCCGCAGCAGCTTCGCTTTTTCCAGGATGCAGAGCGCGCACTGACATCTGATGTGTGTCGACGATGGGCAGGTCGCAGAACCCATGCACCAAGGCTCTCGCGTTCCATCCCTCCAGACTTTATGCCTTTCAACAGGACGCTCGGCCTGGCAAACGTCGGTGCTCCTAAGTATCACCATCTCATCAGCAACGCAATCGTTGATTTGACAACTATCGCGCTCACACTGCGCCTCTTCTGTGCTTCTTATGCACTCCAATGTGCCGAACTTCTTGCACACTGGCGAGCGGCCTGGTGCCTGATGCTTAGAAGACTCGGCAAAGCTACAAGGCCAGATGTGTCGCTTTGGTTACACCAAAACCTTGTGTGCTTTTGGTGCAGAGTAGCAACTTCCGGAAGCTGTGTCACCGGGGTTGCCATTTTCTACACGTTTGTATTTGCTCCCCGGAGTCCCATCTGCATGATGCAAATACCCCCCGGGCAAGCAGGCAATATTGACGATGCCAATGTACTTTTCAAGGCTGCTAAAGAGCAGCCAAACACGGCCTGCACGATGCTATGCCTGAGAAGCTAGCAGCATTTGCTAATGCACCATTGCTCAGACTACGCCAGTCTTATAGTTGCTCTTTGTGTCATGGGATAGCACTCCAACCCGGGAACATGAATAACCTTGGAGCTTGCAAGCAATGAGGAACCGGACTCTCGGAACGAAGACCCAACAGTCCAAATAGCCCATTAACCCCAGGAAACATTCGAAACTCCAAGCCTGAAGCGCAAGTTACAGAGGCAGCTGATGGCAGCTGCCTCAGCTGAATCGTTCAAAGCCCGAGCTGCACCATCTCGACACGCCTGCAGGTGGCTCGGTGCAGCTACCGCCTTCCTGCCAAGAGCTGGCAGGGTGCGCACGGCCTTCGGAACGAGCACAGCGGCTTTGATCACGCAAGCTTTGCCTCGTGACCTTGTCTTCCCGCTGAGCTGTCTCGCCACGGGAAAAGCTGACATTCTGACTTCAATGGCAGCTGTTGACAACGTAACGATCACCTTTACGGAGTACTTCGAGGCCACGACTCTTCTGGGCGACGAGGCGATCGAATTCGGCACAAAACGTGTGAAGCGAGCAGAGTTTCATGGAGAAGCTCCGAACCGCTTTGCGCCTGAGGGCATCCAACACCGTGCTGCAGTTCTGCTTTGGGCACTGGCGCACCGTCCCAGCGGTTCCGTTCCTCCTCTGACGCCCGAAGTGGTGGAAGTTGGAGTCAACCGGGCGGAATGCTCTGCTAGGCTGCTGTCGTCTCATCCAAAGCTGAATTGGTTGGGGGTTGATCTGTACGTGGCTGTTGACCGAGATCCCATCAAAGGAGGCTCCGAACTTGCCGAAGCACGTTTGGCGCTAGCACCTTGGCTTGGTACACGAGCGCAGCTCACAGTGGACCACAGCACTTCTGCGGCAAAGTCCTGGAGCGGTCTCCGGGAATTTGATTTGGCATTCCTTGATGCGGATCATGAGGAGCACTCTGTCAGACGGGATATTGAAGCCTGGAGCTCTCTCGTCCGTGAAGGCGGCATCATCGCAGGCCATGATTATGCTCGTATCTGGCCTGGGGTCGTAGCATCTGCTCACGGGAGCCTGCCACCAAACACCACACTTCATCTAGCACCGGACATGGTCTTCTGGTGGTACAATCCAAAACGGCCCCAGCCGCAACTGAAGAAGTGTGTGCTTTATACTACAATGCATCTGCATATGATGCATGAGATTGTCGAAAATTTTGCCATGCTTGCATTCGGCTTCACCTCAGCAGCATCAGTCTACTACAGACCCCTCAGCAAGTTCTCTTTGCTAGCCTAGCTCATGTCAATTAGATTGTGCCGTCTGTAGATTCACTGGTAAGCGCAGGCTTTGGAGCCTTTTAGAGCCTTCCTCGCCATGTTGTAGCTCTAGTGACGATGACGCCGACGATGTGCACGAGGCCTTGGCCTGCAGCTGGGCTGGAAGAGTCAATTCGTCACGCAGAGGAGCAGCACCGCATTGCGTTCTCGTCCCCATGACAGGGCAGAGGAAGGCCTGTGCACCTAAAAGGCAGCACTTGCTCCCGGAATTCTGATTTTCCAAGCCTGTACAGGTACAGGATACTGACGAAGGCTGCGACGAGAGATGGCTGAGCAGCGACTAGAGAATCAGAATGGCAGGGGCGCTCGTTCTCGGCGTCGACCTCCAATCGCTCGATGTCGACTCTCTTTTGGGGCCTTTGGCCGGAAGGTCTCGACAGCAGACTGCGGTCAAGTTGCTTCACGTCCCGGAATTCAGACTTCGTGGCAGGGGATCGCGAAGTTTGGGCTTCCGGCACCTTCACTGAATCATTCTGACTTTGAAGTGTTCGCTGAAAACTGACGAGTGAATGTCAGGCAAAGGCCACCGCGTGTTGGCGTAGAAGGCTTAAGGCCAGGTAGTTCACCTAGTTGACCAGCTGCAGCCCTAGCACGCACTGTCAGGGCTGATGAAGTCATCTCTGCACAGAAGAAAGCATTGGAGCAGCCTGGATCCTAGCTGGTGCCCGTTCAGCATCCATGTCATTCGGATCCTTGCCACACGGGACACTGCAGCGAATACTCGGTAAGCTCCTGAAGGCCCGCGCCGGCGCAGACGTTGAAGGCCAAGGTGGTGCCTTCCTGCCTGTCGCTGCCGCCGTGGCGGCCACGGCTGCGGCTGACACTTGTGAGGCGGCAAACTGCCTGGCACATGGGCCGGCATTGGTGGGCGGCATATGCGGAGAGCGCATGTACTTCATCGTCGTCGCCTCATTCTTGTCTCTTGTTTTCTGTCTCTCTCTCTCACTCACTCACTCTC